TGAGTGAAATTTCTGATCAAAATTTGAGAGATAATAAGAAATAAGAATGAAATAAGACCACAAATGTGAATTTTAAGACTAAACTGAGTAGAAGCTTGGGTAAGACTATAAAGTTTACCATGGTCAATTGTGGAATATTGGGAACCTTCCATCCTGAGCAAGATTAAACAGAAGGAGGAGCTGCGTCACCCGTCACACAAGTGACAGGTCCAGCACGGAGCTCACAAGCTTGCAAGTGCGAGAATCTCAGGTCCGAGGTAAACACATGCTCTGTGACACGAACTTTTAAACTCTATATTCTTACAAAATCAAGTTTATCCAAATATTTAATTCTGTTTCTATACTACAGATTGCTATGGAATTTGTTATCATTTTTAGAATAGACTGTCCTGTAACACAGTTCTGTAGCAATTTAAAACACTGCTATCAAGAGTGAGAAGGGAAGGAAACACCAAGAAAAAGCCTCAGAGAAGGCCCCTGACTAGAACTGTGATGACTGGACGTGGGTAGTTCACAAGAAAGAACAGCAGGATTCAGTACGGGATTTCTCCACGAGTGAGGAACACTGTTGCTATTCTATTGCCGGAAAATCGGGTTTATCCTTTCTGTCACAAAGGAGCTGACTTTTTACCTAAATTATTTATCATTAATTTCCATTCTTTCAAAAAGATTGCAATGTTGCACTGAAGTTAGTGGGACTTTTTTCAGTCTGAAAATGTTATTTTTTGAAATAGTTACATTATTTTAAATATTTATATATAATAAATATTTGATAGTAATCAACCTAATAAATGCTTCATATTTGTTTTTGCTTTAGATCTGTATTTTCCAGACTTCAGCTAAAGCTGTGTATTAGTACTATCGTTTCCTTGAAATTCTTTTTCCAGTTCATTTACTAATTTATTCATCCAACAAAAATGTATTGCGCATGTGTGTACTAGACATAGTCAGGCCACCTTTACTGTTGTTCCACATGAGAAATTATAGGCATAACGTCCTTTCTATTTTTTAATACAAATCTATATGAATATATAATTATTTTTAAATGTTGAAGTGTTTGTCATGTCCCACCTAGAATAATTTCACTAACTAACAGTGGCATTTTGAGGAAAAATACTTTGGCATTTGTAAAACACCTCATGCTCATGGTCTTTCTTAGACCCGCTCAGTGACCCCTAACAGCGTGGGAGCTTATCCCCACTTTACCTATGAGGGAACTGAAGCGCAGAGCAGTGGAACACCCCAGGACGCAAATCACAGGCAGTTAAGGCAGGCCCCAACCCTGGGCTTCCAACACTAAGCTTAGAACTCTTCTCATCACACCGTTCCCTCAGCAGCAGAACATCGCCAACATGGAAGGGGAAGTGGAGAACTGAAAGGGGAGCCTGAGGTCAGCTGTCTTATCTCTGTTATAAAGTCTGTGATATGGCGTGTGCTCTCTACGTTGACCTATGTTTGACAGCTTTTCTCGCACTAAGTAGCAGTAAATAATTGGCAAAGAAAGTGTTATGAGGATGAAGCCTGCAGGGAATTTTGACATCATCGCTAGTTAACTGGTTCTATTCAAAAGTGATCTAGGATCATTGATCCAGATTCTTGTAATATGTACAATACCTCGTTTTAGAGGGTTGCTGTGGCTCTCTGAAAGATCTGTACCTCCCTTTGCCATGGCCTTCGTTACTTTTGGGATACACTACATGCTGCTGTGCTGACTCCCCAAAAAATTAAATCACTCAATGTTTACTATGTGCCTTGTGAACAAAATAAGGAACCCAAAATTCTTCCTTGTTCAGAAAAGCTCTTAATCCTCTACCATATAATAGTGCCTGGATTGATGAGTGTATTTCTGGCCCCAGTGAATGCACTCAGAGGCTGTGTGTTGAAGAATTACTGTATGTGAAGAATTTAGAGAGTGAAAGAAAGGTTTTAAATGTCAAAACTATTCAACAAATGTGTATTTATATATAAAGTAATATGTGAACTATAAATACACATACATTTCGGGATTCTTTTATAATTATTAAGTAACACGTATCAAGAGCTATGCCATAATGGCCACTGCTACTACATAGCAGTATTACTGGGGTGAGACTGGGCAGCAGATTACGACTAAGGACCAGTTATGCAGTCCTCTCCCAGGGTCTCAGTAAGGTAAGAATGAAATTGTTTCTGGAACTTCTGCCTTAAAAATGTACAAGAATCCAATAATTGTAGGTAAAAATATTGAATATCTTGCATTACTTGCTCCTTCAGCATAAGATTTTTTTAAAAATTTGTGTATCTTTAACCTTTTTAATGTTATGTTTGTGTACTTGATTTCCAGGATTTTTATGATTCACAAGTTAACTAAGTAATTTTTAAGGGAATGTTCATTAAATCATTAAACATGATTTTCATTTGATGATAAATTGAATTTATTTTGTTCTTCTCTGATAGCAGTTTTTTGGGATAATGTTTAAGAGTTTCTGAATATTGTTCTAGTGTGTGAATATTTCCCTAGAAATAACACACACTCTTCAAATATATTATACAATATAGAAAAGTACTAAAATTCTGAAAAAAATTAAACATTTTCCTCTGGATATAATCTTCTCATAGCAGAAGTCCACAGTGGTATTATCTTATTTATATTTAGTTTCAGAAACCACTATCATTGCTTTGTCTTTCAAGGTTGTTGAGCCCTTTATAAATAATATAGTTCATTATGACTCTGCCGTAGAGCCTCAGAGGCAGATTTAAATGAAGAATCACAGTAGAGAATTAGTTCATGAAAAAAATTACTGGAAAGTGATCTAAGCATAAAAAATTTGAAGATAAATTTGGGCAGATTATTACCTAAACTTCTGTTACCTTGTAATTTGATTTTAAAGGTTTATTTTTTTTGAGTGTGCTTTTGTATCTATTTTTGTTTATGCATTCTTATGTATAACTTTTATATATGTATAATTTTTATATAAATATATAGTATTATATATTTATATAAAAGATATACATAATTTATATATAAAAATGACTATATTTCAAAAATATTGTAGTAGATATGATAGAAAGAAATTAAATATTTTGGAGTTAGAGCTGAGTTTTAATTATGGCCATGCTAGCTGAAACTCTGAAGTCTTATCTGCAGAAGAAAAATAATACTAGCTGGCAGTACTATCATATTAAATGATAAAACAGTGCCTTTTATATAAAAAATACACAAGAAACATTTTTACCGTCCCTTATTCCTTATTTAATTAAAAATAAAACTCAAAGACTTTTAAAAAATAACTTGACCTAACAGTTTTCTAACATTAAAACCAAGAGGGTAAGTTTTCATTGTTGTGTCTTGCTTCGTTTCAGCGTGAACTTGCAGTTTGTGGCCTGGCTTTTAAACTCTTTCACTACACCAGTTTATATCTAACAGAACTTCCTGTCACAGGAGCGCTCCTTTTCTGCTGGCAAGGAGTAGATTTAAATATAAGTGGAATTAGTTATTGATTACACATGTGTAATATGCACAGCAGCTTGCAGATTCCCCACATGTGAGTGAAGACAAGATGAAAAAGAAATGTGAAAATATGCCTGGAACCTGTTTTTTTTTTTTTTTTTTTTTTAATAATAATACTTGGATGTATTCTGCTTATGTAAGTTTTGCTGGTCATCCAATAGTAGGATATTTCTCTTTGTATGAAGTCTTACAAGGAACAAAGTTGTCTCTTGTTCTGGCACACAATGGGTCAGATATTCCTAGTGAACTTGTACACAGGAGTTATTTGAATTCTTTGGGACAAAATACAAACCATGAAAAGAAAAAAATTTCCATTATTTGATTTTTTTACCTCATTGAACAATTAGAAATCCTTGTATTCCTACATAAGCTTTGAAAAGGTCATAGAGAAATGTCTTATAAATGGCATTAATGGGTCAGACATAAAGATTTAAAGACAAAAGTTAATAATTTCCTTGCTGATTAGTATATTTAGTTTCTTTCTCAGGTGTTTTTGTGAACTCTGAATTTTGCATGAAAGTGGCCTAGGAGCAAAGAGGAGCAACTGGAGGAGCAGATGGCTTGGATATTTGCCTTAAAACTGTGTTTGCACCGCCAGCAACACTGTTTTTACTTACATTGATTTTTTTACAGGTCAATAAAAATAGAAAAGTTTTCTAACAGTGCTTTTAGTCACAACTGACATAAAAGTTTTCCTCTTTATCATTTTCCTGTGTGACTTCCAGAGGCGTGACCGAGACCACTGGGTAGGCGGGAGGGTCATAAAGGCTGCAAACGCACACACACCACCACCATCACCACCAAAATACTTAGTGGTTGAACCGTGAAGGTAGCACAGACTGGTAGTGACAAAGCAGGACGGGAGAGGTGGCATGCCCATACGGCATTATTAATAGCACCCTCCCAATGAGCATGAGCCAGGCTTGGCCAGCCGTCCCACAGAGCATAATGCTTCCTAAATAATAAGAGTTGCTCTGTGTGAGGCTGTATTCAACATAGGTCAGGTTTTAATGCTCACAGCAAGTCTAGCGGGAAGGTAGGTGTTATTGTCCTCGTTTTAAAGTGGAGGACACAGAGTCTCAGAAAAGTTAAGTGTTTGTGAAGAGGTAAGATTCTAAGTCCATCTCCTGGCCACAAAGTCCACCCTAACACGGCTCCTGTCTTTCCTTGCAGGAATCCTGATATGCGGTTGCTAAGTATCAGGCAGTGGAGAATTAGGGTTTCTGATGTATATGATTTTGTGAACTGAAAGTCATTTTAATTCCAAGTTTTGTTCCCCAGATATTATTTTCAAATGCTCACAATGTTGCAGCCAGTTTGTCATTGCTGCTGACGCTGCAGCTGGGAGCCACAGGTTCGACCCTAATGGAGCAAGGACAGAGAATCTGACAGGGCAGTGAAGGTTAAAGCCCCCGCCCTGGTGCACCTGCTTGCAGGGCAGGAAAGTTACAGCCATGCTTGACAATGACAGGTGTGGGTAATGCGGTTTGGTCTTCGTACCTTCACTCAGGTGGAGCCCGAGAAGTTGAAGACACTAACAGAAGGTTTGGAAGCCTACAGCCGAGCCCGGAAAAGAAACAGAAAGTAAGCATTTTTGTTTTCTGTTTTGTTTCTCGAGATTATAACGTACCGGTTTCCCTTCAAAGGAACAAGAAAATCTCACTGATCTGGTCCATGTTGTGACCTGCCTTAGTGCAGTATAGTCGTTATCCACAAAGAGAACCACTACGGAGAAGCCCAGCTAGCTATTACAAAAAATATTTTAACAGTGTATGTTTACTCTGTGTGTGGGATTTGCCACTCCCTCTAACCCTATTCCTCTTTCATTTAGGGGGAGATAGGGTTAATAGTCCTTTAAATATCAATTAAATACACTGGAGAAGTTTAGTGAGTCTATCTATTTGCAATTCAGATACTTCGGGGTGGAAGAACTAGCACCTAGTTGTACACCTGCAAATATGGCAGATTAACCCTTTAGCTGATGCTCCCTAATTAACATTGGTTGAAGCAGCGGTATGGACTTTAAAATAGGCTTTCTAGGCGCTGGGGATTTAGCTCAGCAGCACAGCGCCTGCCTGGCAAGCGCAAGGTCGTGAGTTCGGTTCCCGGTACCGGAAAAAAACCAAAAAAACCAAAAACAAAACAAAAAATAAAATAGGCTTTCTTTGGGATTATCAAAAGTTGCATTCAAGCTTTTCTGGATCTTTACTTTCTGCATATGTATATACATTATTTTAAAATATACCATGGATATACCCATTCAGTTGTTATGATTTATGCATTATCAAACAATCAAGGATTACATATTAATTTTTATTTATAAAATAATCCTTATGTTTAACCCCCAAATATTAACACCTAAGGTCAGTCTTTTTGTATCTTACTATCTGTTTTAAACTATCACTTTAATGTATGTTTGCACTTCAAGGTTTATAAAATGGAGATCAGAATAATTAGTAGTATATCTTACATAAAAGGCTTAGATAATGATGTCAGTAATACATATTAATGGGCACTCTTTTTCCCGCTGTGATGTTTCCAGCAATTGTTTCAAGAGGTAACATTTTAAGTCCACAGATGTTAGGGAGAACGTTCACCTCCTTAGATTCTCTCACAAGAGGGTGATGGCCGTAAGGCAAGTCCTGCGTGCCTCTGCCCGGACATCGTCTGGACGTTGCATGTTGGCACTAGCGCTGAAGGCTGGGTGAATAGCCAGTTCCATCCTTGTATGTCTCATGAGAAACACACGGAGGTACAGGGCCCCTCTCTGCTGACTGGAGAGACACTTCCTCTGCAGAGATTAAAGTAGGACAAGGCCAGGTCTGGATGAAAGGAGGGGAATTGCAGAATACCATAGAGAAATGGCATTAGACCCAAGTTTAAAAAAAAGACAATATCTGCGCAGGAAGCCTTGCACGCTACATAGGTATTAGCCAGATGAAGATGGTGTGGGTGAGGATAGTGTTCAAGTGAGACTGGCAGTTGGATTTGGGGCGAAGTATCAGAGCTAGGAAGTTATAAGGACATGGCCAGAGGAATAAGCAAAAGCTAAATCATGGAGGTCTTAGGCGGGGCCAGTAGGATCTTTGTCTGATTAGAAGTGCCTGACACGGGGCAGGTGGCGGGACTTTTACTTTTACCAGGTGTGTATAGGGGGACGGGCATTAGGAAAACCGAAGAGGAGGACAGTGGTCAAGAACAGTTAGGGGGTGCAGCTGACAGAACACGGGGACTGATCAGCACGTGAAGGACGGTGGACAGTCAAGGACAGCTCTACAGTTCTCACCTGGGTGGCTCTGGTGAGCGGTAGAAACACAGTCTGCTGTGGGAACACGGAGGAAGGCTGCTGAGTGCGGTCTGGGGTGTCCGGGAATAGGCCGGACGCACAAGACTGAACCTGAGAGGAGGAGGATCTGACAGTGTAAGAACGCTGCGGTCGCCCCGAGATGCCTCGATCAGTGTGAGGAAGGGCAGGCTGAAGACTGTGTGCCAGGAAAACTGAACACAGCAGAGCGATAACACGGGGGACAGTGGTCAGAAGGAGGGGGAGACGCAGAGGGCAGCAGGGTGTAGAGGGCAAAGGTTGCAAATTTCCTGGATGATACAGTGATCGAGGACAAGGTATTGTCCTGTCTAATAAGACAGGAACTAAGTCAACACTGGATGGGACAGTTTGGAGGCACAGGTGACCTTGAGGAAAGTTTCCAGCCCGTGGTGGGTGTAGGAAGTGGTCCTGGATTGAGGCGGGAATGAAAGCAGAAAAGGCAGGTATAGAAGATTTGCTCTCCTTTTTATCCCTGTGAAAAGATCTTGAAAAGTAGCAACCAGAGAACATTTAAGATGGCAAAGACTAGACTAAGAAAGAAAAAGAGAGGAAAACTGAAAAGAGAGGGTAGTGGCATTTGGAACAAAAATACTGAGATGCTGGTGCTTGACTCGGGCTCGCATCCTGTTTCTGGCACAGTCCAGCTGTGTGTCACTGGTTCTGTTGCTTCACCTCTCTGAGCCTAAACCCTTCATTTCTAAAGTAGGAACATTGATTAGGACTTTAGGTTTGTGACAGATAAAAAGAGAAAACATTAAAACAGTACTGGGCAAATGATATTTAGTAAATAGCTATTTTTATTATAAAGATTCAGGTTAAAGAAGGAAAATTATGTAACATTTATGCTAGTTGAAACATTCAACCACCATATTAGATGTTTAGAACTTTGTGTAGTCGTTTTAATCCTTAACATTTTAAGTCAAAGTGTATAATAATAAATATCTTTAAACTGAAGTCCTGATTACATCCTAATCACATAAGCATTAGCGACATTTATTTAACATAGTATTCCGAGTAATTTTGTACTTAAGTGCAAAAATCACCTTATTAAAGAAAAAGATTCTACAGCTTTTAGATAGGCTATGGTTTTCATTTAAGGGAAAATCAAATCTTCTATCTGTATATACACACTTTTTGGTAACCTGATTTTTTATAAACCTGGAAAATGTTAAGTGGTAAAATGTCACAATTGCAATATACAGCCAAAAATGATCCCTTGATGGCTACATTCTCTAAAGTCTGCACACTTTGTGGATTAGGTTTTCAGAGTCTAGCGTTTTCCACTTTCAGGTCTGACTCTAGCTGGTTCTCCAACCCGAAGCGAGTTCCAGGCATTCTAACTGATAACGCCAAGTGATGTGCAGCTCCTCGACTCCCCCTTATTTCTTGTATTATTCACAGATCTGTGCCTGGCTTTTTTAAAAAAAATGAGTGAGGATGAGGATAATATGAGACAATACAGGCAATGAAGATGAAAATGGCAATTATCTCCACTAATAATTAGAAATGTGATTATATGAACATCTATTGCTTAATCAAGTGGGTTTTAAAGTGTCCATTAGTAAAAATGTTTATTATTAAATGTCAGTGGGGAACGCAAAATAGTAGAGGAAGCTCTACGGGAAGGCCCGTTTGACTGGAAGGCTAAATCTTAACTAACTGCTCGCTTCATGAGCTCGTGGAGCTTTCTGTTCCTCTTCTGAGTTCATTCTTCCCTGACCTGGCCAGTTGGCGCGAAAACTGGTCTGCAGCTTTGCCGACTGGGAAAGTCTGTTTTCACCTCTGATTCTTGTGATATAGTCAAACAGTTTCGCACTCTACGTCCGTGTATTTATTCTCTCTTCCAAAAATAGTGATTTCTCTCTCTATTAACTGTTTAAGTTTATTAAAGTCAAGACATTATATTGTACTAACTTCACCTAAATTAATATGAGATTTTATAGATATTTTAAATATCTTACTGAAGAACAAAAAGGCAAAATTTCTAAAATTCTAATTACTGTTGTTGAATCATTTTTATGCCCTTCATGGTAATGTTATTGTATTTTTGTAATTGAGTAAAAAATTATAACTATTACTTTTGAAAAGTATTTGTAATTAAATATACTTATTCATATTCACGTGATTAATTTTACCCACTCTGCCTAGAAGTGCATATATGTTTTCCAAACTATAGGACTATCCATGCTAGCTTTGGACAGATATCTTTATTTAGCAAACAGACTCAGCCTTTCCGGTGTGCCTGAAAATGTCATACTCAGATATGGAAATCAAAGTTCTCGAAGGTGCAGAAATGACACGTATGAATTCTCCGACCGCGCTGCATCGAGGGTAGAACCCTAGTGAGGTTCGCGGTGAACCAAAGGCATTCCCCGCAAGTTCAAAATGTTTTTAAACACGATGCTGGCCAGACTAAGTGCGACTGGGAGCCAGATTCTCTCACAGCTGCAAATTTCCAGCTCCGTGTAGATGCTGCGATAGAACTTAGCCATGGTAATAGCCTACAATGAACAGATTTACCTCTGTAGTCTTTCTAGTAGGTGTTCTGATGGGGTAAATGAAATGAATGTCCTTAGTATTTGGAACAACGTGGCGGTTGTTTATATGCATAAAGGAGAAAGAACAAGTTAACAGTATGGGCAAAAGATACACAACCACAGAGATGGCTACTGTGGATTTCCCCGGTTTTCATACGTAATATAACAATCCATAGATGTAAGTTTCAAAAACGACTGATATACAGCGTGTTATTCAAGCCAGACTTGTACAACGGAATGCTGAGTACAGAGAAAAGGTCGGAGGAGTGGTAAGCACCCTTAGACCAGCCTTCTCTATCGGTTCAAAGAGCTATAGCATTTTAGTTTGGGAGGAAACGTGGTGGGGATCACTCTGAGAGCCTCAAGTGTAGCAAGTTAATTAGCTGTTTCTCTCCTGGAAAATGCACCAGAATTTCAGCTTTTACTTGCTCAATTCCAGAAACCAGGATGCTCCAGAGAGGGCAGAGGGCGCTCCCTAGTGGCCAGAGCCTGAAGTTCGCCCCCTCCACCCTTTAGAGGTAGAGCCTGGGAGTTCTGAGACAGCCGGACGAAAAGCTAGGAAGTGCGGGCTGGATCCAGGAAGATATGCTGCACTGGTGGGAAAAGAGCCCCCGGCCCAGCTTTCCCCCAAAGTCACCAGATTTTACAAAAATCACGTGGAAGAGAAAAGGGTCTATTTTCCCCCACTTCATATGGTCGGTTTTTTAGTAGTTTGGGGACTTTAATCATTAGTATTCAGTGGTGAAAATCCCAGAGAGATGTTTTGTCATCTGGAGTTTTCAAATGTGAATATAAATTGACTTTCTCTGGTGGAATTGGTACTTTTGTTTTCTGATTAGGGAATTAAACTGAGATTTTGTTTCTTTAATTTATTAATCTGGTGTGTTGTTTTCATTAATTTCAGAAGTGGAAAGCTAAATAACCGTTTAGAAGCTGCTATTCATGAGGCCATGAGTGAACTGGACAAAATGTCTGGGAGTGTAAGTTAATTTATTTTTCCATTATACTGCGTTTCTTTGAAAATAAATTGTGTTATACTTTTTGCCATAGTCTCTTGAATGTTGTCAGGCAACTCACATGGCAATGCTAAATTACTGGGTTGGGAAAAACACTCTTACCAGGAGAGATTCAAAGTCATTTAAGAAAAATAATTTAGCAGTATTAACTATGTCTTTTTTCTGAGATAAATAACTTGTTTTCTTATACAACATTCTTTTCACTTACAAGCAGCAATATATTGAAGTTCAAATCACAAGCTTTCTTCACCTGACTGTGAGCAGCATATTTAGCAATGCACATCTCACTCTGTCCATTGCAAAAAAAAAAAAAAGTGAAATTGAAAAGTTGGATCAAGATCAAGACTAGATAGAACTCCTTTCATTGCTACTCTTTTGCTAAAATTAAAATACTTAGCACAAAATTTTGCTGTCAAATTTTAAGCTGGAAACTCTGGTTTTAAAGAAGTATTGTCTATGTTTTCTTTACATTTTTCTTGAATTGTGCATATAAGAATGATGAATGTGAGAAGTTTAATCATTACCCTCTAACTCACATATTAACCCATATAAACATTTAAACATAACTGTAGTAACCTCTATAAAAGTATGAGGTGTGTAAGGCAATGTAGCAATGAAGGTATTTCTTTTACTTGATACCTGCAGTGAACAAAGTAATCTGAATTCCAGCAGCCCATCCCATGGCTGTTGAATAACAGATGGAAGGCGGGAATTCTCAAAATGTTGGGCTGAGTGTGGAATGCAGAAATTTTGAAATCAACGCATTATTTAGCTGATCAGTGGATTGAGACCGTGAGACATTAAATTTCCTGATGAAATTATAGGAAGGCCTAGAGCAAGAATTAAAAACTCTGTCTTTGGGGCCACACAAATAATTTCAAAAGCAAAGTGGATCGGGTCTGACAGCAACAGGAGTTCAAGGGGATTGAGAAAAGCCAAGGAAGATGCACTTAGGAATCCAACAGAGCAGAGCCGTTGCTCCTGGAGTCTGCTGCTGGTTGAGAGAGTGGCTACTCTGCACGGTCATTCAGAGGTCCACGTTCTTTCTGTCCGGAAGCCACCATTCCTCGTGACCCCAGAGTGCTCTGCACAGCCTGTGCCTCCAGCCCAGCAAGTAGGAGAAAAGCCTGTTTACACTGGCCTTTCGACACGGTTCCTGTGGGCCAGGCCTGGAAACTTACCGTTTCCTCTGATTCTCCCTTGGCCTGACCAGTTATGCGGCCTTCTTAACTCAAGCAGCCTGGGAAATGTGGCATACCGTGTGTCCCCGGGGAAAAAGAGAAAATGGATTTGGCCGTCATCTCACTATTCTCTGCCTCCAGTCTTTTGACCTTTGTGACCAAAGACCACAAAGATCATGTAACCTGGAGACATAGGCTCTCTCTCCAGAAGATCCGTTCTCTGTGCTCGGGGAGATCTTAGCCATGAGGAAAACTGTACTGGTGTTGCAAGACCTCCCCATTTTTCCTCAGAAGCCAGAAGTCTAGAAGTAAAATTTCTCATTGCTGCTACTATTTTAAAAATATTAAAGTGCCATATGGCTAGACAAAATAATTTTGGAAGGCACATTTTGTCCACAGATTATTACAGTAGTTTGAAGTCTGGATAAAGACTTCTGTTGATTATAAAAAGTCTTTAGTTACAGTATTCTGTTTTAAATATACATCGAGAGAATTAGGAGGAAGGGGCAGCTTGGGAAACTCACAAAGTTTATTTTAAAATTGTTAAGTATTATTTTTAACAGCCTTCTGCATTTGACTGAATAGTATTGATATAAACTGTATGTGTGTGGGGGGGTGTGGGTGTGTATTTGTGTTGCTAAAGATTGAACCCACAGCCTCACACATCCCTAGGCAGCACGATGCTACCAAGTTGTACCTCAGGCCCTTAACGTTGTTTTAAAAATGTATAACTGAACTAACTTGTAGTGGATCTCAAGAGCTAACTGTACATTTCTTCCTTGCCCAAAGTTCTGTGATATCACATTGGTAGATCAAAACTGGTCACGGTGAAAGTAACTACACCACAGAAATTGGGAAATGCTGCACTGAGCTTGTGTCCAAATACTGGCTGTTAAGCATTTGCCGTACCATTGCCTTGGGGCTGCCCCGCCTTTCCTGGGCCTTGACCTTCCTGTGTCTCTCTCAGTAGCTGTGCTACCGTCACCGGCCTTCTGCCCCTTACAGTCTTCTTTGCTAGCTAACGCTCTGATGCTGCGAGCCCCTGCTCAATCTGACGCATGGCCCTAAGTGCTACTGGCCCCCGCGCTGTTATATAGAGACAAGTTGCATTAATTGCCCGTTCAGACTACACAAGCGCAGACCTGCCAACAGGTGGTAGTGCCATCCCATTTCCACCCTCATTCTTTTCATAAACACGCATCTCTGGGCTGGACTGTGTGTGCGTGTTCGTATGATCTTTAATTCTTCTTGGTAGTTGTAAATAAACAGAGTGATAAAGTAGAAAAGAAAACATGTTTGGTATGTATTTACCCACTTTTCCAGGCTCCAGTGAGATTGGTCAGCTAGGGTATCTGGCGAGAAAGCCTTTATCTTAGTCTTAAAGTGAGTGAGCAAATGCACATCACATTTCCGCACTTGCTTTTCTCTAGTCCAGTGATGCTGAACCTGGGCACGCGTGCCGCAGCGAGCCTGAAAGGTTTGCCGTCTCTAGTTCATGCTTGTGCTCCACTGTTTACCAGAATCCGCAGCGCGTTTCTCTGCTTATTGGTTTCTAGCGTATTCATCTTTTGACTGTGAGCACACCGAGGTCTTGGTAAAAAATTTAAATGCCTCAGGATATCGCAACTGAAAGTAAAAATCTGTTTCTTTATCAGAACCCATGTGGTATTTATGACTTCAACCTCTGTTGTTACTGGTTTCTTCTACCTTTTTATTTCCAGGTTCACCAAATCCCACAGGGAGATAGACAAATGAGACCACCCAAGCCCAAGAGGAGGAAGATCTCCAGATAACAGAGACTGCTCCAGTAATGTGCAGTGTTTATCAAAGGGGCGTGCACAGATGTCTATGTACATAGATTGATACGGCCACTGTTACATCAGTATTCAAACCACGGCAGATGGTGACCACACCACAGGGTGCTAACAGCAACAGTGATACACACGTTTTTTGATGGGGAAGGCTAATGAATGCTGAAAAACCAATCACAATCCCCGTATGCTGAGTGATCAGTGGTCAAGAGATTACTGAGCAACTCTTTTTCTATGACACTAAAATTGTGCTCAAAGAAATAGTCCAAATGTTTCTGAAGAATTTTCGATGTTGTATATAGAAAATACAGAATTTCATGGTGATATCAAAAATGTAAATATTGTACAATATTGTCATGTACAAGCGTACCTAATGCACACTTTATCTTTTATTGTACAAAGAAATAGTGTACAAAATTCTTTGGTTTCTATGGAGTACACCTACCAGAGACTACCAGTGTAAAGTGATAAATAAAAATACAACCTAAATGCTTTTCTATGATAATGTAAAAGATGCTGTTTTTGTATCTAACAGCACAGAAAAGGCATGATGATGTAATATCTTAATTATGACATAACACACCACACCACTGGGTGTTCACTTACAATGTCTATTCAGAATGAACCTTGCATGGAAACATTGGACTCAATTTTGGGTAGCTAGGAAATTGCAACCTTGCAGATTTCTAAAGGGATGAGGGCTCACAGGTCGAAATTAAGAATTCAGAAACTGCAACCATTTGTTGCATATTTTTTTTACCTAAGTTTTAAAATAGAATAAGTTTTATAAAAAAAAAAAAAACTTAGATGGAATATTTTACTCAGCCAGTTCTGTAGTTAGTATTTGATAGCCACCTGTTAAACTAGGTATCCTACCACCACTGATCCTCAGAACTAAAGTTTTTTTGCAAATGATACCTGAAAAGGTAAAATTTCTATTTCCACACACAGAAGCAAAAGCCCCACGTTGAAACTGTTATCAGAGGCAAGGATTATTATAGGTCAGTTTCTTTGTAGTGGCCAAAAAAATACAAATCATCAAAGCAAGCTTCATATCCATTCATCAGTATTACTTAACCCAGAAATTAAGGTGGCTTACAAAATTATTAGTGATGGTAATTTTTTATCAGTATTATGTAATATATCAGATTTATTTTATTTAAAGAATTATTTATACCATTAACAGATTCTTATATATATATATATATAATGTGGCTGAAATGTGCAGGTTAAATCTATTAACCAAATTATTTATATTATATTAAGTAAGAAAAAAATGTGAAACAAATGTAGAGAGAAAATACTACAAATATACAACCCTGAAACTGTGAGCCATTGTGCAGTACAAGGTAGTTAACGAGAACCGTAGCACAACACCATTTTGCATCTTCTTTTCACAATTCTTCCTGGCGGTGGCGCAGCCCTGCCCCAAGGTAGATGAGTGACGTTCCAGGCCACCCGCCTCACTTCAGTGTACGATCGCCCTAAGAAGGTGTCGGCCGTTCCTTTCTCTGGGCACCACCAGCCTCCACCCCACCACCCGCTTCAAGCACTGCCGGTCCCTCGCCTGGGGCTCACTCTGCACCCTGAAGTTCTCCGACAAGCGGCTCTGGGCACCGCCACTTCCCCACTCCCCGTCCCCTCTGCTTCCCCGGCCCCGACTCCGCAGTTGTCCCATCATGTAGCAGAGCTCCAGTCACTCAGGAAAAAGGAGACCAAGGTCATTCCTCACGTGAGTCTCTGGGGCCACAGCACAGAGCACGCCGCCTGGGCTCACGTCTGATAGCAACAGTTCTTAGTTCTCACTGGCCCCTGTATCCTCTGTCTCTTCTGTACCCCCCTCGCCCCTACCCTCAAGCCTGGGGGAGCGAACTGGGCACGCTTAGATTTACGGCCTGGAGCAGGACCTCTTCCTTCAGGGGCAGGTTCACTCTGTCTTTCGAACTGCTGGGCCTACCTCCCTGGCCCCTTATACACTCACAAACGTTTATGTAGTTTAGTTGACATATTTTTGTTATATATTTGATACATTTAGACCATTAATGTTTATTTTTTGTATCAACCTGCTTTTCTACTGTTTTGCCTACACAACGTGTTTCTTCACAGACAGGCACATGTATGTGTTTGTGTGTTGGGTGTGTCCCTATGTGTTTTAAGTGTTGATCTATGAAGACGTTTTTAGCCTTTGCCTCTCTGTCTTCAGGAGTCTGGGGCACCCAAGCCTTTTTGTTCATTTTGAGCGAATTCGGTGTGTGCTTCCCCACCACTGTGTGCTTTACATCAGTAGACCATGTAAAGTATGTTTCTGCCCATGACATCATGGTTGCGTATGGCTTTGCTATGAGTGGTAGGTATAGCTGTCTCCGTCCACATGAGGTTTTTCCCCTCTTTCTTACAGTGAAATGGTTTCATGTAAGTAGTTAATGTAAATATTGTTAGTATTTTAGGTCATTGAGTGCTTTAACTTTTTTTTAGATGTTGCACCTTCTTTACCATTAAAAATTGGTCACTCGTACTTCATTTCCACCCACCAAGCCATTTCCTTCTCTTTGTATTGAAGCGAATTCATTTTTTTAAAACTGAAGGTCAGCCCTTCTATGCTAGTACATTTTTTATTCCCTAAAATAAACTTTTTTAAAACAAATCCAAGAATGGGAACAGAATGAAATTTTTTTGCTCCTTTAAAGAACACAATAGTTCCTGCTGGAAAAAGGAAATCGAATTTAATTTTGTATCCCCAACAGCCCTAGGAAGCACACGGAGAATAAACTGCACATCTCAGGAGTTTCCAAAGAGTATCTCCAAAGAGTGACTATCAGCTGAGCAGCTCTCGTGTGGCTTGTCTTGTTTATAGCATTAAAAGCATCCCAAGGTTTTTATTTATTTAAAGGAATATTTTTGGTTGTACTTTTCCGTCGCGTTATGGATGAAAATGCTTTAAGAAAAACATTCATTCCTTGTGATATCATGGGCCACATGTAGTTTTTATTTAGACTTCTACTTTTGAGTTTTTGCTACGGCTGTTTTTTAAGTAAACATAGCTTCCTTACTTAAACATGACTCTGCAGAATTGTGGGAGGAGCAGAGGGCTGTTATTTCACTTTCTGTAAGTTTTATGAAGATTCTCATATCACATGGGTTGAATCCTTTTTCATTTCAGACCATGATCTCAACTTTGATATCAACTTGCAGTGTTCCCTTGGAAGGCGCAAACAATTTCGCATTAGGGTGTCAAAATCTAGGATGCTCAAGATGTTTGTGGCTTTGTTCTTTCTGAAAAGAAAGCAAAGATTCTAGACCTTCTGAAAATTCAAAATCTTGTTTACTTTACCCAAATGATATGATTTACACCCAAATGATATGATGCAAGCCTCAAGATTTTTCAGTGACATGTATAAAATAAGTTGTGTGTTACTTCATTTGGGGATACGAACAAGAGATATCAACCAACCCTAACTACGGTACTGAATTAGTTTATCCTTCCTTTCATTCACTTTCTTATATTTGCATTAGCCAAAGAGATAAGAACATTAGTAATTCATATGTGTGACAACACAGAAGTGAATATTAAATCAGTAAGCCAAAAAGCAATAAACAACTGAAGCATGGTATATCCTGCTAACGGTGGGGAGTCTGATATAGAAAATATATATATATAAAGCATTATCTTCAGAAATGAAAGATTAATTTGTATCTACTGTAAATATGTATTATCAACCTTATCTGCTTTATACACACTGTGTGTGTGCTTCAGTGATCTTTTATAAACCGGAAAAATGGTTGATTTAATAATTTGTTATGTAAATACAAAGTTGTCTATAAATTGGAAAATTTGATGCCAGATGGCTTCATTAATATACAACTGTGTTTTGTAACATCATGCCTTTATGGGTTAAGTATAAATACACTGGAATGTCTATATAGAAAAGACGCAGTTTACATTTCACTTGCATTTCAAATGGATATTTTTGTCCCCAGGGTTATATTATTAGGAAAAGAAAATGACCTCAACATTCCCAACGTGAAAAACAAATATGGTTTTGCATTCACTGAAACTCTTTTTCACACCCAAGAATCTGTTCAATTCCATGTTAAATGCTTCGCGTTACAAGATTTCCATAGGTAATGCATTGATCTATGACACAAATCTACCTATGAAAACTACACAAATTGAATTATTGTGCCTGAGACATAGGCTACACATCTTTCCAATATCAGGCAGGCAGAGGAAGAACACCGGCCTTCTTATTGTGTTTCAACTTACTATTTTCTGCTTTGTTCCCATACATTTAGGAAAGCACAGACAAAGGGCCTGGGTCTGTGAGCTCAGGTATGTACAGAACGTCATGTCAGTGCAGGCCCTTCCTATGTTGGCACTAATGACATTTGGGCTAGGTCATTTTTTTGTGAAGACGCCTTATGCACCGGAGAATGTTTAGCAGCATCTCTGGTCTCAGCCCACTGGTGGCCTGTAGCACCCCCGCCCAGACCGTAGCAATCAAAAATGACTCCAGCCTTTACCAGGTCTCTCCTGGGGTGGGAAAGCAAAGGGGTTCAAAATAAAGTTTGAAAACCACTGCCATAATGAAACCAGTTTGAGAGCATATATCTGTGTAAAGCACAGGCAGATTTACATCTAGAAACTGATTCCTCCAAGTAGCCAGAATTTATGCCAAGGAAGAGCTTCTGGGCCTATGGTTAAGGAGATAAACACAATAGCGTCAGCTTTCCTTGAACTTGATACTCTAGATCGCAAGACCCAAGAGGCGCTGTTTTTAGAAGCCCCTGGCTAGAAGAGCTACCTAAATACTGGGGCTCAGAGTGTGCAAGAGCACACTGCATTCTGGGTCGCGCAAGGAGCTTTGGTACTGGATGCTGGCAGCTGGCAGAACCGCTGTCTCCCTGGCTCAAGAAGAGGAATGACCGTGGAGACCAGCTGGGTCAGGTACCAGTAGTCCTGACTTGCTTGTAATCAGTTTTGACAAGCAGTTCAGAAGATTTTGGGGGTATCCTGGATACATGTACTCATTCGATAAATATTTACTGAGTGCCGCTGTGTGCCGTACCCTATGTGCCACAGCGGGGATGGAGCGGTGCATCAGACAGGCCCATCCTCTCCCCGTGGAGAGCCGCTGGAGGAGATGCCAAGCAAACATGTGAATATGATAAATGACGCTACGGGGTAAGAGGGGAGCACATCGCATGGCCGTGACGTCATTTCCTGGGGGTGGGGTGTGAAGGAGGGCAGGGAAAATGCATAGGAAAGAGGCCGAGAACTGCGTGGCATGGGAAAGGGCAGCAGCGTGCTGGAGGCAGAGAGCAGCGTGTGCCAAGACCTGGACTTCAGAAGAAGCGTGAGAGAATAACGGCTGAAGAGCCTGGGGTCTGGGCCTATCTGCTGTTCCTTTTTTCTTTCCTTTTGCAGTGCTGGGGACTGAACCCAGAGCCTGTGCTTGCTGGGCAGGTGCTCTGTGACTGAGCTACGTCCTCAGCCTCCGGAGCAAGGCTTGTTGTCCCTGTTGCATGTATCACGCAGTGATGGGGAGTTACTGTGGGCCTATAAGGGGTGATATGATCAGCGGTGTACTTGAAAACGATTGTTCTAGCTGCACTGTTAAGAAAGGGTGATGGGAGGGATAAAGACTGACAAGCACAATACATCTCATTTGAAGTGCAGGATTTTTTAAAAAGCATGCGCTTCTTCAAAAAGTAAAAACAAATTCCAGGCCCGCCATAATGCTTCATGTTACATTTGTTGAGTAAATTCCATCCCGATCGTAAGGTATGTATATAAAAGTATACAAGTGCGTTCGCTTTAAAATGGAGATTGAGCACTCTTAATCTGAAAACCTGAAATCCAAAATGTTCCCAAAGCCGAAACTTCCCTTTTAGTTCAGAACTGCTGAGTTCCAGCATGCCACTGCAAGTGGGAAATTCCCACCAGATCTCACGTGATGCGTCACAGTCAAAGTGCAGGTGCACCGAAAGTATTACACAAAATTAGCTTTGGGCTCTGTGGATAATATATATAGGAAACAATTGAATATTGTGTTTAGACTTGGGTCCCATTCCCAAGATATTATGTATACGTAAGTATTCCAAAAGACAGAAAGAAAACCCAAAATTCAAAACACTTCTTCTCCTAAGGGATACTCCACCTGTAGTCATGAAGAAATGTTATTCCACACAGTTACACTACTGCCCATAAAATTATTCCCTGTTTATTCTACACAAATAGGGAAGCAATAGTGTTTCTACCTAGACTACCAAAAGGCTGGGATCGTCACTCACCTGCACAGGTAGGTGCAGGTCCGGTGTGGGCTTTTGGAGTGAGCATCTCGTCCTACGTGCCTTCCCTAGGAATCAGAAGCTGCAGTAGAAGGCACAAGGGGAGCGTTAAGGATTACAGACACAGGAAATCAGGACAAGAAGGGTCAGGGCCCAGAACAAGGCCATCTGGCTATGGAAATTTCTGCCTCACAGTCAGGGGGGCCACGATGGCCTTTCCTCGGCCATTCCAGCCGAGGATTAAGTACTTGCTCCTGAACATCCCCATCCGCAATGATTCACCCTGTGTACTCAATGAACCGTGCCTGTGGGGCTTATCAAAGCTAATTATTGGTTAATAAAACCAAACAGGGACAATGCAATAAGGGCATCCAATCTAGAAGCTAGCAAATACCCCTTCCTTCTAGCGCAAGATCCTCTGCACCGGAAATGGACCCTACACCAGAGACAGCCCATCAGAATAGCTACAAACTGGGCCCAGAGAGTCCTGATCTAGAAACAATCACATCTAGATGGTGCCACTAGCTTATTATTTTACTTAGAGCAAGTTACCTAACCTATGTGAACTCAGCTTCCTCATCTGAAAAAAGAGGGTAAGAATAGCACTTCCCTTGGGGGTTGATTAAGGAATGAATGAGACAACACAGAGAAAGCCCCCAGTGAACTCAGTGAATGTTCCTTACGAGATTGCAAGCTGAAAGATTTTTGATTACAGGAACCTGTAGCAAAGGAACCTATCGTCAAATATAGGAGGAATGAAGCTGGGCCTGGGGGTGCACCCCTGTAATCCCAGCACTTGGGAGGCTTAGGCACAAGAATAGCTGCAAGTTCAAGGTCAGCCTGTGCTACATAGTGAGTTCTAAGCCCAGTCTGAACTACATAATGAGACCATGACTCAAAAACAAACAGCACCAACAAAATAGAAAGATCTATGTCTAGAGGGCTTGTATCTTCCTGAGAGACACAGAAGGTGGGACTGGGTTTCCTTGTGCAGCATGGTGCCAATAAAAGAGAACAGATTTACAGTACACTTTTTTTTTAATTTTAAAGAGAAAAAATTAAAATAACAATAAAACTTTCAAAATATGTTAGTAGGAGGGTTACAATTGTGGTACTATAGACGTGAGTGCACGTATATCACCATGGTACTATGTTTTTAATTCTTCTGGGAAGCTACCCAGAAGGGGAATAGCTGGGTCAAAAGGGACCTCTAATTCTAGCTTTTTGAGGAATCTCCACACTGATTTCTACTGTGGCTGTACCAGTCTGAAAAGCAACAGTGAACAAGGGTTCCTTTTTTCCCCACAGCCACACCAGCATTTGTTATCAGCTGATTTCTTGGTGCTATCCGTTCTTACTGGGGTGAGATGAAACTCAGCATTGTTTTAATTGGCATCTCTCTGATGACCAATGATGTTGAACATTTTTCCAGGTATTTATTAGCCATTTGTATTTCTTCATCTGAGAAGTGTGTATTCATCTCAGATGCTATTTTTTGGATTGGGTCTTTGAATTTAGGGGGTCTGATTTTCTTCAATTCTTCATATGTTCTAGATCGAAGTCCTTTGTCTGAGGGAAAACTAGCAATAATTTTTTCCCATTCTGTAGGTTGTCTTTTCACTTTGTTGGCGATTTCTTTTGTTGTGCAAAGCTTTTTGATGAGATGAGATCCCATTTTTTGAATCTTTGTGATATTTCCCTTGTGGTCTGGGTTTTGTTCATGAAGTCTCTGCTTATACCTATATCTCTGAGATTTCTACCTATTTTCTCTTGCAGTAAATTTAGTGTTTCTATATTAGTATTTAGATCTTTCATCCATTTTTATTTTAGTTTAGTACATGGTGATAGACACGGGTATAGTTTTAGGCTTTGACCTGTGGAAAGTCAGTTTTTCCAGCACATTCACTGAAGAGACTATCTTTCTTCCAGTGAACATGCTTGTCTCCTTTGTTAAAGATAAGGTTGCTGAGTGTGTTTGGGGTTGTACCTGCATCTTCTATTCCATTCCATTGATCCTAAGGTGTGTTTTTTGTTGTTGTTCTTTTTTTTGCCAGTGCTATGCTGATTTTTTCACAGTAGCTTTGTAGTATAATTTCAGGCCTGGGCTTGTGATACTTCCAGACTTGCCTTTATTGCCCAGAATTGCTTTTGCTGTTCTAGATCTCTTCTGCTTCCAAATGAATTTTAGGAGTGTTTTATCTTGATCTGTGAGGTATGCTGATTGTATTTGGATCAGGATTGCATTAAATCTGTACAGCAGCTTGGGGAATATGGCCATTTTCTCTATGTTGATTCTTCCTATCCAACAGCAATGGATATCTTTCTATCTTCTGATAGCCTCTTCACTCTCCTTTTTTAGAATACTGTAATTTTCACTGTACAAATCTTTTACATCCTTTGTTGGATTGATTTCTAAGTATTTCCTTCTTTTAGATGCCATTGTGAAGGATGTACTTTCCCTAATTTCTCTCTCTGTCAGTTTGTTGCCTGTGTATAGGAATGTTATTGATTTTTGAGTGTTGACTTTGTATCCTAGTACACTACTGAA